GGTGACAGAGTGAGACTCCAACTCAAAAAAAAAAAAAAAAAGAAAGAAAGAAAGAAATGAAGTCTATCAAAAAATAGCCAAGGAGTCATGAATGAAAAGAGGAGGAACTATAACCTCATAATCTTAACAATATTTTTGTTTTGCCAAATAAAGTCAATAAATCACAAAACTACCATCTATTCTTGTCACCATTTTAGAAGATAAAGAACAATTTTTATCACAACATGAAAATGTCATCTATTTTTGCATAAAGAACATTGTTTTTTCCCAAGGCAGGATAGTTGGAGCCACTTACTTTGATATTCTTGCCTAAAACCAATAGAAATTTTGCCACAGACAAGTACTATTCTACAGTCACATGTTTGCAAATTGCTGCTACAAAGCACAGAGAAACCGAAGGTAAGAAATTGTGCAGACCATAACCTCAATTTTATTAGCAACCTTTCTTAAAGCATTAAATTGACCTAAGTCAATTTTCTCATGTAAATCCTAAATATGACTCACCGGTGACCTGCCAAGAGAGAAATTGAGTCTGAATGTGTGTGTGTGCAAATTCCACCCGTTTTACGATGGTCGCTGACCTTGTATGCTCCCAAATTATATGGCGTCTCTACACGGCGCCATTTGAAGGGCACTAAAATGTTGAACTGCCACAAAATATCTCCAATCCTCCCTTCTCAGGAAACTATTCATTAAAAATGGACTGGATAGCAACAATGATGACTGTCTTTAGGAGATGATCATTCAAGTGCATCAGCATGGTTTCCCACGAGTCATTCAGCAGAGTTTACTCTCATATTAGCTTCTTGAAACCTTAGCCCCAAGGCAGCAAAAAAACCCCAAGGCACTCCTGAGCAAGGAAGTTGAGAATCACAGTGTGGCTGGTTAGCAGGTTGGAAACACAGAGACTTCACTGCATGAAGAGCTACACTAGAGTAAGGGAGGAACCTTCTACTAGTGCCAGGTTAGGGGGAATCCTGAAGACATACCTTATGTTCATGTAGACCCACATCCGGCTTGCACCCAAGTTGATATTTACAGAATAACTGAAACCTTTAATGCCATTTTTTCCACATATTACTAAACAGATTTGTTGTCTGTTCCTATCTTATAATGAAAAGCATTTCCCAAGGCAAATCATTCCCACTTCTCTAAAATATGGCATCTTGGCTTTTGAGGAAACCACAGAGGCAGGAAGGCCCTCTTGCCTTCTCCCCTGAAGCAGGCCATAAAAGGATTGAGACCTTCTTCTGAAGCAGGTCAAAAGATCTTCATTCCAGAGGGCTACTCCCCGTACCCAGAGGAAAGGAATGAAGACACAGAGACAGACATGAATCTCAGCCTGCTAACCTCCCCGCAGTGTGTCAGCATAGATCCCACCCTTTTGTCCCCCAATCACACTTAAAAACAACTGTCCATGAAAAAACACGTTTCCTCCTTTCTTTGGGTCTTCACGTCTGAAGGCTCCAGTGGCATACAAAACTCTTATCAAATGCATTTGGTTATACCTTTCTCTTGGTTACCTGTCTGGTTATGCTTGGAGCCTCAGCCAGGAAGACAGAGATGAGTGAGAGAAGAGATCCTTTCTTCCCTTACAATATGCATTTTCTAAACTTCAAATTATGCTCAATGAAATTGCATCCATCTAAAAGGAGGCTTGAGAATACCAAGGGAGTCCTGCATCTGTGGCCAAAGTTGGGTGTCAAGATAAAGAAGCACTCAGCTGGGCAACCTACTTGAGAACTGGATGGAAAAGCCAGACTTGCTGATAAAGAAGTCACTGTCGAACTGCAGGGTGAGCGAGTTGAAGGTGCTGTGGATGTCCTCGGGAAGGGCAGAGCCGCTCCACTCCTTCAGCAGGATGTTGCTGTCCACTGGCCCATCCCAGACCTTGAGGATGTCGTGAGCCATTTCCGTGTCAAAAACAATGAAGTGAAGGCTGCAAGGACAGAGCACAGCGTACATGGTGAGTCATAACAAAGCTTCCCGTGCATTGAGGGCATCCTAGCCATGGAGCTGCACTGTAAGTGAGCTTATTTCGCTTTCACGAAACCCCACCCAAAATGTGCCTTCATCTTATCTGACAGTCAAGGATGAGGGAATGGAGCCTCATGGAAATTAATTCACTTGTGCAAATTAGAATACAGCACAGCTTCAATCTGTCATAGACACAAAGAGGTAGCTGAGCTAGATGCCAAGATATCTATTTAAGGATAAAACAATTCTTTTTTAGACTGCCAGATCTCGATATGATTCAGAGCTTTCCAGGGCACACACCAAAGAGGAGTTTGACATAGATGTGTCTTAAGCTAATCTTTAAGTGAGCTTTGGTATACATGTCGGTGCTATTCTTGAAGTGTCCCACTAGGTGGCAGCACGCACACCAGGAGAGAAACAAAATCCACCAAGAGTATAATTTCTACTTGTATCTGAATCAGTAGCTTCTCTGAAGTACCTGCTTTTAAAAGTTTTATTTTCAGAAAAAAAAATTTGAAATACAGATAACCAAAGTCATAAATGTGTAATATAAACTACCTTCTTTATACCATCTTAGCCTACTTCTATTAGATTTACTGATATTTTTCAAAATGATTTAAAAAATGTCTAAGAATGCTCACGTTCAGAGATGGCAGCAGAGATCCAGCCTATTTATGGCAATCGAGACAAGTGAAAGAGTGTAGTTAGAATACTAGCACGATTTTGCATTTCCTGAATGAGTTGGTTTATAGTTTTTCATTCACTGCTTATTGCATGTTGATTGTTAGGGAGAAAAAATAAAAACCCACAGTACTTCACATACTGCACACAAATCTCAATTACTGTATTTTGCACATGTTGTACATTTAAAGACAATATATCATCCTGCATAGAGTATTATATATGTGGTGGATTTTTGAAATATTCAGTATAAAATATTTTATATAAATACAAGGACAGAAGATAGCAGACATTTATTTTTCTGGCCACCACCAATACTAACACTTTGCCCTATTTGCTTCAGATTTTTAAAAAATTTTAAATATGTGAGGTAGAATTCAAGGTAAGGTACACAAATGCTCATTACACAGGTACCCTTGTTGATGAGGTGTGCCTCTCCTTCCCCTGGCAGATTGTTTTTTTGTTTTGTTTTTTTATGAAAACAGTCATTCTTACCCTGTACTTCACTAATTCACTTTTTTCTCACACTCTGAAGATATAATATACTATTCCCATTTATATTTCATAATTTTTGTATGTTTATATACATGCCACTCAACAATATATACTACTACTTTGTGTGTTTAGCAGTAATGACATAATAAATATCATTTGACATGCATGTGCTTGTATCATTTTCAATTTGCTTTTATACGCAGCGTTGTGTGAGGGTCCTCTATGGTGAAAAACAAAGAATTTTGCTAAATTATTTTAAATGCATCATGAGTGTTTTATTTGTCTATTCCCTACTACAGGATAATTATTTCTACTTTTTAATTGTGACAAATGACACTGCAAGAGTTATTCAGTTGCCCTGGCATCTTTCTAGACTGGCATCAAAAAGACAGACTGCCAAGTTTCTCCATCTTGTAACTCTAGCTACATATAGTTCTGGGTAAGAAGCTTGCACTTGTTGATGCTCAGTGAGAGTGTTTGAAAGCTGGAGAGGGTAAAGGACACATTTAAAAAGGTCAGTTGGGGGAAGACTAAAGTAATAGGAAAGCAACGGAAACTGGTAATGGCAGATAAGAAGGAAAGGAAAGGGAAATAGCTGAAGTGACAGGGCATTCATTTCACATTCAATGCATTTTTTTCCTCAGTGCCTATTATGAAGAAACTTTATGTAATTTACAAAAATAATTCTGGGACATATATACTCCTATCTCCATTTTCTTTTTTTGAGTTGGAGTCTCACTCTTGTCGCCCAGGCTGGAGTGCAGTGGCACACTCACGGCCACCATAGCTTCGACATGCAGGGCTTAGGCGATCCTTCCCCCTCAGTTTTCCAAGTAGCTGGGACCATAGATGCATGCTACTGGCTAGTTTTTGTGATTTATTTTAGAGATGAGTTCTTACCAAGTTGCCCAGGCTGGTCTCAAACCCCTGGGCTCAAGCAATCCTTTTGCCTCGGCCTCCCAAATTGCTGGGATTGCAGACTAAGCCATCGTGCCTGGCCTCCAATTTTTTAAATGGGAAAATATTGGAGATTGGGAGAGAAGAAATAAGCAGCAGTAGAAGGTAATACTGAAGATTAAGACTTCTAGTCTCTTATAAGAAGAGAGACATTAACACAAAGAGAAATGATGAAACAGGTCTGGGTAGAAAAACAGTAATGGTGAAACTGCAGCATTTGGAGTATATTTGTGAGGAGTCTACTGCAAGGATTTGGGAAAATATGATATCTGATGAGAGATGCCAAGGAAGTTTGGGCCAGCTCCCACAACTTTTTGATTTTTATATACTGAAATGTCTCCAGACATTTCTTTAATTTTTTTTCCTGTAGTCACTTTTTCTGGGACATCTCTACCTTTCTCATTGCAAGCACTTTCATCCCTTACATCCATGTGCCGCTGTGGCCAAGTTCCCATGGCTGTCTACCTTCTAACCATCTCATCACCAATGACCCATGTAACTACATTTACATGTGAATCAAATATCCCTTCCCATTATATCACTTTTCTTTTCTTCACCTCATGCTTTTATCTTTGTTGGCCAATCTTTCCTTGGATACTCCTTTTTTTTTTGCAAAACATCAAGTGGGTTTATCACTTTGAGCAAAGGAGGCAACACAACTATCCACTTTGCTGTCTGTGCATGAATTGACTAGCAGACGCTCTGTGGCCAAACTCCAGCAGATGTAGAAAGAAGAGATGCTTTCAGTCACTGATGATGATGTTTCTGTTATTTATGCAGTGAAGTTTGCTGGTCATGCACTTCCCCGAGGTTCATGTGTCATGGCAACTGAGCTGTGAATGGTGTGGTTAGGAGCTGGTGTCATTGAATTCAACTGTGGCAACTCAAGTGATGTATGTCAGTGTTTTGCAAAGTGAGGGGAGCTTGTGGGATTATTTCCTCTGACTCACATCTTCCCAAGTGGCAGATACCCAGCTGCACCCAGCAGGGGCTCTCAGGACCCCAGGTTATGGGGTCTGATGTAGCAGCCAAAGACACAGGGGCAAACTGTATAGCTCTGCTGTTCTCTTTGTGGCCAATGGCCAAAATTCTCTTAACTAGATATTTCTTCACATTATCTATAAAACAGTAAGGGATGTTCCATTGTGATCCTCACAGGAATGAAGGGATTTGAGATGCTTTGATTCTTATGATGCTCCCTGCCTGTCTGTGATGTCAGCAAAATGTTCTCACCTCATGCTTTAAGCACTTTTCCAAAAGTTTGACATGGAGACTGGAATACATGTCTATTGAAAAGGGATCCTTTGCCTGCTATGTTCCTCTTGAGTGTATTTCTTACAGGGATCTCAAAGAATGGTAGAAAACAGATGAAAATATTCCTGGATCAACAAACCAGATCAACTCCCGGACAGGACAGCCAAAGAGACACGAGAGACATGAGGGTTATCAAACCATATGTTACTTTCTCTAGAAGTCTACATCAGGACAGTTTTTGATAAGTTTTTTTTTGAGTTGAGATCTTGCTCTGTCACTCAGGCTAGAGTGCAATGGCATGACCATGGCTCACCACAGTTTTGACCTCCTGGGCTCAAGCAATCCTCCCTCCTCTGCTTCCTGAGTAGCTGACTCTTTTTTGTTAGAGATGAGGTTTCACTATGTTGCCCAGTCTGGTCTCAAATTCCTGGGCTCAACTGATCCTTCTTCCTCGGCCGTCCAAAGTGCTGGGATTACCACATTCAGCCAATTTTTGACAACCTTGATGTATACTTTATATGCCTTTAATGTTTTTAATACTGCATGAACTTATTAAAAAGAATTCCCTTCAACTATACTAGCAAATGCAATTTCCTGCTAACAATTAGGAAAAGGAATTCATTCAAAGTGAGCTTTCCAGACAATTGCACTTGCAGAAGAGCAATTAAAACTAAGGAACAATGTACACATATGATTATGTAGAACATAGCCTTTAATGCTGCTGGTTGAAGATGTTTAAAATGCTGTTCCTTCTTTTACATAAATCATAGTTGTGCTCAGCAATGAAATACACTGGGTCTCTTAAGAGAAATATTTACATATAACTCTTAATGGGGTTAAATTTATTACAATGTCTTGTGATTAGACTTTTAATTAAGTTCAGCTCAGGTGACTCTTTTATAGCATGTATGTTAAAATTACAAACCTCTTTCAGATCCAGGTACTCTATAATAATAACTATTTTTGGATATTCTATTACCTCAAACAAAGAGTAATAACAATATATATTGAGAAATTGCTCTGGGCCTCAATGAAATTAGAGTAGTCCAGCATAATTGGCCTGAAATATTGAAACCAGGACTTTAATTATTTCTAAGGTCCTACAGTTTATTCATTCCTTGACAGTAAAAAACATTAACATTAAAAAAATCATTGTATGGATACACAGTAATGAATTCTGTTTATGTTAGGACTCTTTTTAATACCTAAATTGATCCTGGATTGAGTTTATATGACAGTTGTATCCTCATTTTCAAGTATACACTGTAGGTAATGCTGACGATACTGCCAATGAAATAACTAAGACTCGGTAAACTAGCCAGCAAACATTAAGGCTAAGCCCAGACGCTTTTTTTCTGAGTATGAGTACAACTGTAAGCCTAAAATTGTGTATTATGTACTACTAATTATATTGTTTTCCAAACCGCCATACTAAAAATTGCATTTATATTCTCAATGAGCAGTGACTCAATCACAGAAAACATTTGGGGGATAAAATTGAACTGAGTTAATTAATTATTCATACTGATGCTTCCCTCTTATTTTTCTTATTAGGTTCTTGCCTTCCATTAAATAGATAAGTTGAGAAATTTGATGATATATAACCTCATCTTTGAAAGATATATATGAGAAGAAAAATTTTCCAGAAAAACACATTGGTGTGCATAATATATTTTTTAGAATGCTGTAATTACTATGATTCAAAGTCTGTTTATGTTATAAAAGTACAAAAGTTGCACATTTTTTATTACTTAAAATCATTCTTTATTCACTTCTTTTCTCATTAAAATGTTAAGAAAGTATTAGATTCACCTACAAAGAGTGAATCAATCACTTTGTTAGCATTTAAAGGAAGACAGTGCTCATCCTATTTTTAAGAAAAAAAATCACAAGAGAAATTGCAAGAAAACCAAAAAAAATTGAATTCTTCCTTTGGGAAGAATTAATTTCTTTTGAGAAATTAAATTGCCATTATTTCCCATCAATGATTTCTACAACTTTTCATTGTATTTACATTACTCCAGTATTCAATAGTTAAAAGTTAAGGACTAATATTTAATTTAATTTATTTTAATAGAAAAGTGACTCTATGGGTTTTCATGAAGAATACAGAATCTTAAATCCTGTTTTCAGATACACCTTAGTGTTGTCTCAATAAATTTTAATTAATCATTTATCTTGACTAAGTACACATATTATGGACAAGGGTCTCAAACACTTATGATCCAGGGATCATCCAAATATTTGACTACCAAGGTCTGACTACATGGTGCCAACAGGATAAAGAAGAAAGTAAAATATGAAACTGCTGTTTCATGTGATATTGTTTGGATGTTTTTATCCTCCGAATCTCATTTTGAAATGTGATCCACAGTGTTGACATAGTGGGAGGTGATTGGGTCATGGGGGTGAATCTCTCATGAGTGGATTGGACTTTGCAGTTTCCAGAACTGGTAGGCAAATAACTTCTGTTCTTTATAAAGTACCCATTCTGTGGTATTCTATTATAGCAGCAAAAAACCAACAAAAACAATGTGCTTGCATTGTATACCAATTTACATTTTTTTTTTTTTTTTGCTCCTCTTGTATAGAGAATCTTTTTTTTTACACAGGGTTTATAAATTGTAATGGTTTGTGTCATGTTAGCTCAACTCACTCCCCAGATGTTGATGTGATTAAATTAAAAGTGGGGCACATGGATTTTGGAGGAGTTGGATGATGTCAGATGAAGGGAAAAGAAGCAAAATAGAATAAAATGCGCATTGCCTGCATTCCACCTCATTCCATTTTATTTTGTCAAGTGCTAGAGTACACCACAAGAGTTTATAATAGCCATTTAATGTACATTACTAAGTCTGATAGGAAGGTTTTTGTGAAAAGGACAAAAGTCATCAGCTTATGGACATTTTCATCTTTCCACTTCTCTCAGAAGAGGCTTTTGACTTTGTCCTCTCATTATTTTTCAGCTTTACATATATTAAGAAGGATCAGAGATGGCTCCACAGATTCAGTTAGTCTTCAGTGGACACAACAGTACAAGAAAGTAGTTTGAAGAACTGAGATATGTTGATTGACACTGTTGACGGTCACAGTTCTTATCAAGTAAATTTTGTAGAGAGACTTAAAAGCAACAGCAATGGCTGGGCATGGTGGCTTGTGCTTGTAATCCCAGTACTTTGGGAAGCTGAGGCAGGAGGACTGCTTGAGGCCAGGAGTTCAAGACCAGGCTGGGAAACATACCGAGCCCTCATCTCAAAAGAAAAGAAAGACAGAAAGACAGAAGGAAAGAAAGAAAGAAAGAAAGAGAGAGAGAGAGAGAGAGAGAGAGAGAAAGGAAAAGAAAGTTAACTGAGCCAGACATGGTAATGCACACCTGTAGTGTCAGCTACTTGGGAGACTGAGGAAGGAGAATTGCTTGAGCCCAGGAATTTGAGGCTATGGTGAGTTGTGATTATGTCACTGCACTTCAGCCTGAATGACAGAGTGAGACCCTGGCATGCATTCATGTGTGCACGCACACACAGACACAGAACAGAAAACAATGAAAGAGAAAAGTTAAATGGAAAAAAAAAGAAATTTTCAGGATTATTGCAGTAGATTGTGTATCCTCTTTCTGTTCAACAAGAACTATACTTTAAAAACTTATTTTAAAATTACATTTTGCTTTATGTACTGTGGTTTTGGAGACAGACTTCTGATTAGAACACAAATAACTTACTGTAAAAATGTTACTTTCATTGGTTTCAAAAACTTGCCCTTAGTAACTTAGAACTTGAAATACAACACTTTTTGTTTAAACATTGGCACCATTTCCTGTAATTTTTAATGATTTTTAAAATATGTGCAACTTTAAGTAATTTCTTGATCTACCTCAGAGTTATTTTGGTGTATAATAAAATGATCACACATTCCTCTCATTCCTGCAAGCAAACCCTTTTTCAGCATGACTTTGCTACCCTTTCCATTCATGCAGGAGTGCAGTGTATTTCTTCGTACCTTGAGACTTGTCTGGCCCATGAAACTTACTTTGGCAAATGACACATGAGAAAATGCAATGCACACATTGCATCTGTCATCGCTTGCTGCTTGGAACCTTCCACCCTTACAAACCTACCTCAGGAACAGAAGCTTGGTGTGGCAGGCCTCGCACTTTCCCTGTGGCTTCCACATCTAAGGAAGGTCACATGGTACCACCCAGCCTCAGTCAAACTCACCCAAGTTGGAACAGCTTAGAAAACCCACAAAGTCAGGAGCAGATAAATGTTGTGGAAGCTGCTTAATTTAGAGAGCAGTTTTGTTTTGTTCTTCTGTTTTTTTTATTGCAGCAAAAGCTAACTGATACACTCATGTTGAGTTAGCACACAGTTTCAAAGGAAGATCAAAGGAAGCAAGTGAGCCAATGAAAACGTAGCCACAGCTTCACCTTTTCTTCTTTAGCTCAGAAACTCTCACTGAGGATGATCGATGGACCACTATCTCTGCTACAATAGTAGAAGACATGCCTCTCTTCTCAAATCACTGCAACCAAAATAAAACAAGTACCTGATGGTCTTTCCTGGGTCTGCCTCTATAATCCAAGTGCAGTGGAGGTTGTTGTCATAAGGTGCTGGGTAACCGGGGGACAATATTCGTCCAGAGGTGGCAGCGTGGATCCGACCACCACATTCCGCTGCAAAAGACAGAGAGATGTGTCTCGTGTTTCTACTCAGCTATTTTTAAAAACCAAAGACTTAGCACCTGCACTATGTATATAGAAAAAATCATCAGTCTCTACCATAATCTCTATTCTTTACTTCCCTATCACTATCTCTGTGGAAGGTCTTTAACTTCCATGCAAATAAAATCAAGTGCGTAAAGCAATAAAAATAATTCTAATAACAACACTTTGAATATTGTTTCCATAAAATGATTGTAAGGAATCTGTCTTTCACACATGAAACATGCACACACACAAACACACATATTTTAGGAATATATAAAACCCACAAAGAGTAGTACAATGTCTTCTCTTTTCCAGATGAATGGAGTCAGAGCAATGTGGAGTGATGCTCTTGCTGACTTTTACACAAGGTAATAGACCTGAACCAGCCTCCCCACTCACCTATGCAGGAAGGCAGTGGCTTGTCCCATACCCTCCTGTCTCCACTCAGACATGTCAGGGTGTTGCTGCCATGCATGGCATAGCCTGGGTTACAACTGTACAGGACTACGGTGTCAGTAAAGTGGCCTTCATCACGGATCCTATAGCCATAGTTAGGGATGCCTGGATCTTCACATTTGACTAAATCAAAACCTGTGAGAGAGAAGGGACAAGATTGAGTAGAACACAAAGTAGCCTGTATATTTACCTCAAAACAGAAATGAAGTAGACTAGGTTGCTCAGTGTTCTTTGTAGGGTAGAAAGAAAATAAATGGTAACTTTACAAAGGGGAAAAGAAATATGGTTCTTTATTGAATTTGCTTGCTAGTCTCTTGTCATTTCTTAAAGTTTGATCATTTAAATGCTATTTTTTCCAAAACATTCCACCTGCTCATCTGTCAGTCCATACTTCCTGGCCAGCACACTGGACTCTCTAGGGAACCTCCAAAGTCTTCTCTGAATCGTAGGCTTTGATGCCTCCTCATCCCTCTCCGTCACTCCCAGATCTCCAAAGGAAAGGGGTCACCGATTGGCGTTTGCAGAATCTCTATAGCCAGCATTTATTCTATTCATTATCAAGAGACACCACCTGCATGACAACTTTTCCAAAACTCAAGATCTCAACTTAATGGGAAATGACAAAGTTGTCCTTGCCCCCAAAAAACTGTAAGTTCATGAATTACCGCAGGCCACATTCCTGATGGTACATGGTTATGAGACTTCTGAGCAACTCTATGCTCGACAGAAACTCCAGAAATGAATCATTATAATGACCTCATCAAAATAAGCTCTTAAGCTCAAAGAAATAGATGACGGAAATGAAGATTTAGCTTCTGCAGTACTGAGAGCTGTATATTGCTTTTATGAGAGGCGATATTTTAAGGCCATCTGTGAAGACAGTCTTACAGTAACATATTTCTCTTCATATCATGATGCAAATCTTGATGGTTTTTAAAGAGGGGAGTTGGAAACTTAGGGGCCACATTGTCTGTTTCCTTCTATTTCTAGTTGACTTTGAATTCTTCCTTTTCTCAAGAAAAATTAAATTAAACCGTAAAACTAAATGTGTGACTTTTGCTAAGTCTGTGTGTCTACTTGCAGTTCAACTTGCCTTCCATTGAGGAAAATATACTCTTAAATTCACAATATCATTTTACCCTGCTGATCTCTAAATAATCAAGATTGAGTGTTCTGACTTTGTGTAGGGGAGAGAAAAGAGTGCCTGCTTGGTCATTTACATTCAGTTGCTGAGAAAATTTACTTCCATAAAGTTTCCTTCCATAAAGTGTCAGTCTTCACCAACTATAACATTACCTTTACAATAACTCTGACCTATTTAAGAAAAAAAAAAGAATTTTATTCAAGATGCACAGAATGCAAGAAGTGTATCAACTTTGGTGTAAAACAAAGGGATATTCTAAATCACCACAAAGAAAGGTAAGAATTAAAGGCAAAGTTCTCAATCATCTGTAGTTTCAGAGGTTATGCAAATATTTGACTACCCTGGTCTGACCACGTGGTGGCAAGGCGATGAGGAAGAAAGGAAACCATTAAACTGTTGTATCATGTGATACAGTTTGGATGTTTTTCCCCTCCAAATCTCATATTGAAACGTGATCCCCAGTGTTGGAGGTGGGACCTAGTGGTAGGAGATTGGGCCATGGGGATGGATCCCTCATGAGTGGATTGGTGCTGTTCTCGTGGTAAAAAAAAAGTCCAGGATCCTGTCTTGTACCTCACATCTTTACAACGAAATAATTTTTTTTAAAAAGCCTGGAAACTCTCTCTCTTGCTCCCACTCTTGCTATGTGATACACCAGTTCCCTCTTCACCTTCCACCATGATTGTAAGCTTTCTGAGACCTTGACAGAAACAGCTGCCAGTGCTGCAAACCAAAATAAACCTTTTTCTGTATAAATTGCCCAGCCTTAAGTATTTCTTTATAGCAAAGCAAAACGGACTGATACATCATATATGACAAAATCCACTGAGTATCAATGTCACAAAAGGACTTACAGATTATTTAGCTCTTGCTTTTTTTGTACAAAGGGAAAAAGAGAAATGAAGTATTTGTTATTATTGCTGTAGTTTTGTTGTTTTGGGTGTTTAGAAGTGACTGGATCAGAATAGTGCTTTAGAGAGAAATCCTGCCCAGAAATGGAAACAAGAACAACCAAACCAGAGACAGAATAACTAGTTGGGAGGAATAATTTTGAATAGCCACACCCAGGCTCGACGACTAGTAACAAACAATGGTCTCTTGTGTTTCACTGTCTTGAATTCAAGTTAGGTTGCTGAGTGTCAAATGCCGGTGGAACTAAAACTAGAAACATTCATTAGACAGACAAAATTAAGTATAAAAAATCATAAACCAAAAGAGTCCAATATCTGTCTTTATTACCAGCACCACAGTAACAAGATCCCAGGTTAAGTAAGATATCTCTTTGAAGAGTAACAGCCTCACATGCTAACAAGGCCATGTAGATCCCATCAGTGAAAGTCAAGACTGGGGATGACAACAGGCCCAGGAGACTGTGAAATCCTACATGCAGCATTCATGGGGAAGCCTCTACCTGCTGTTGTCCCAGGGAAAAGACTCACACCTGCTGTGACCAGAGCTCCTCATTTTTCAAGAAGCACCAGAAATCTGGAATTTTTATGTTTATAAAAATACCTATTGCCAACCCAAGTGTCCACAAATGAATGGATTAAAAAAAAAAAAAAAAAACTACACACACACACACACACACACACACACACACACACACACACACCATGGAATACATCTCATAATAAGAATGAAATCACTTCTTTTGCATCAACACGGTTGGAGCTAGAGACTCTTATATTAAGATCTTAAGTAAAGTAACCCAGAACAGAAGGTCAAATACTGCATGTTCTCACTTATAAGTGAGAGCTAAATAATGTGTATACAAGACGTAGAGTGTGGAATAATAGACATTTGATTAGAAAGGTTGAGAAGATGGGGGGGGAGTAAGAAAAAAAATTGAATGGGTACAATGCATACTATTCAGATAATGGTTACACTAAAAACCCAGGCTTCACCTCTACTCAATATATCTATGTAATAAAGCTGCACTGGCAACCCCTAATTCTAAACAAAGAAAAAAAGAAGAAAATGCCTGTTGGATGAATATTTATTCTGGAAGTGGTAATGACTAACATTTTGAATTAAGTTGTTAAAGATGGGTGTGAATAACATTAAAACAACTAGATTATTTTTAAAGTTTTAAAAATTGCATGTATGTCTGGCATCATTTAGACTCGCCAACTGGTGATAAAAACCTTCATCAGACTCAGAGTGGGGAATAGCTGGTGTATTCCACTTAACGCTTTTAAATTAAGTTTTGAAGCACACACACATATGCTGGACAAATAAATTACCAAGGTAAGTACAGTGGCTCCTCAACTTAACAAATGGAGATACATCTAGATAAAACCTTCATGAGTTGAAAATATCTTAGAGTGGAAAATGCATTGAATGCATCCAACCTACTGAACATCATAACTTAGCCTTATCTACCTTAAACATTGTCAATATATTTACATTAACCTACAGTTGGGCAAAATAACCTAACACAAAGCTTACTTTACAATAAAGTGTTGAAGCCGGGCTCAGTGGCTCAGCCTGTAATCCCGCGCCTTTGGGAGGCTGAGGTGATTGGATTGCCTGAGCCCGCGGGCTCAAGACCCGCCTGGGCGGTGAGACCTCATCTCTACAATAAATCAAAAAATCAGCCGGGCGTGGTAGTGCATGCCTGTAATTCCGGCTACTTGGAAGGCTGAGGCGGAAAGATCGCCGGAGCCCAGCAGGTCGAGGCTGCGGTGGCCGGGAGCGGTCACTGCACTCCAGTCTGGGCGACAGAGTGAGACTCCAACTCAAAAAATAAATAAATAAATAAACAATAAAGTGTTGAATATTTCATGTTTTTTGAATATGGTACTAAAAAGTGAAAAACAGAACAGTCATATGGATATTTGAAGTACTGCATCACTTTTGCACCATTGTAAAGTCGAAAAATCAAAATTTCTTTCTTTCTTTTTTTTTTTTTAAGTTGGAGTCTCACTCTGTCGCCCAGGCTGGAGTGCAGTGGCACACTCACGGTCACCCCAGCGTCAACCTACTGGGGTCCAGTGATCCTTCCACCTCAGCCTTCCAAGTAGTTGGAACTACAGGGGCACGCTACCAAACCTGGCTAATTTTTGATTTACAGACGAGGTCTTGTCAAGTTGCCTGGACTGGTCTTGAACCCACAGGCTCAGGCAATCCACTCACCTCAGCCTCCCAAAGTGCTGGGATTACAGGTTGAGCCACTGAGCCTGGCTGAAAAATCATAAATTGAAGTGTTGTAATTTGGGAACTGTCTGTATTCATTCTGACAATAAATTATTTTGTGATTATACAGAGGAGTTTGTTAAAAAATATTTTCTTCACTGGAGACATACGCTTAAGATGATAAACTAATGATACTGAATTTTCCTGAGAGACTTATGAACTGTCTCAATAGTTTATAGCCAGAAGCTCTATAGATAGTTTGTAGATGTTCATGCTTAAATATTTAAATCAAATAGGTAATAAAGTTCTAAAATTTAAAAATACACTTATTTTTAAATTAACTTGAAGAAACATTTTCCTCTATGCCAAATCTTGTATTAAATCCTTTTTTTTGGAACAAGATAAGAAGAAACACTTTTTAAAAAGAAGCAGGCTCAGCCTGTAATCCCAGCACTTTGAGAGGCCAAGGCTAGTGGATTGCCTGAGCCTATGGGTTCGAGACCAGCCCTGGTAAATTGGCGAGACCTCGCCTGTAAATTAAAAAAAAAAAAAAAAAGCTAGGTGTGGTATGTGTGCCTGTAGTTCCGGGTACTTGAAAGGCTGAGGAGGAAGGATCGCCGGAGTCCAGCAGTTTGGCGCTGGGGTGACCGTGAGCATACCACAGCACTCCAGCCTGGTTGATGGAGTGAGACTCCAAACGAAAAAAAAAAGAAAAAGAAAATTATTGCTGGGCTTTGTGGCTCAACCTGTAATCCCAGCTCTTTGGGAGGCTGAGGTGAGTGGATTGCCTGAGCCCGGAGGTTTGAGACCAGCCTGGGCAACTTGGCGAGACCTCATCTCTACAATAAATCAAAAA